AGTGACCTTGAGGACCAAACAATTAAAGACAGAATTCAATCTGAACTATTTTTCATGCCGTAATCCCAAATGGCTTAAAGCAATCTCGATCGTGGTACACGTGTCTATCCCAATGAAGAGCTCCCTCCAAAAAGGCCTCCACCCATCGCATCCCGCAGTTCATACAATAGTATTACCACTAAAACTACCACTGTCACTACTACCACCACCACTACTAGTTCATGCTTACATGATTCGCTAGTTCTGTATTTCCGTTTGTCAATCATTCATCCATAAGCGGACACAGTAATTGGAGTGGATTTTATGTCCTTATTCAACGAAGGCCACTAAGTTCAAGGCAATCAATAGTAGTTACACTGTTCGTATTCTTGAAATGGTTTGACTGGCTGAGTTTATATCAGCATATCATATCGGCATGCTGTGTTTACATGATCTTCTTCTACTGCATGAGTACATTACTGGGATTCGTCACCCAAAAAGGGGATCCAACGTTTGAATACCGATCGCCTTGGTCGTGCAGTGGATGATAAACTGAATTCTTTTTGTCAGTTATGAAGGCGTGTGATAAACGACATGCGGTACTTTGTCAACAGCAATGAAGCACCATGTCTCCATTCCAGGTTGGTTATAATAGTCATCATAGTTAACACTTGTGCCGACAAGAAACTAACTTAGTTCAGTTTTAAAACGGTTATAAACAAAACTACAGGACTATGGAACCTTTTAGGTCAGCCCGACCATGGTAGTGGATTTTACTAACCGCAAGTCCGATTCGTTCACGTGTAAACCTATGTGTGATTCAGTGCTCCAATGTAAGTTAAAACCAAATTTATACATAAACACTTAATAATCGATTGAAATTTCATATTTCCTTCGGGAATTGGTGAATCAACAAAGACACATGTCCGTATTACCCATATGCCAAAAGGTGACCACTAGTCAACTACGTAATCAAACACGTTAGGATTAACTATGGATGGACTTACCCGGTTCATCATTCACTATGGTTACCAAGTGCTCGAACACATTGTAACACATGTTCAACAGATCTGCTTTCTCTGCTTTCTGGTATTGTGCTGGCTGTAAAATGATTCAAAGGGAATAACCGTTAATATGTACAGTCTTTTGTTGTAAACCACTCGACAGCATGTTTTAATTAGTTTGGAACAAGCAAAAATGAAATGACTCAAGCAATTCTATTTGAGCTCCGAAAAATCTACTGCGATCAGTGGGTTATTCGATTTAGCTGTACTTAGGACCTTATGTGGTTACTGACTCCGGATGAATCGCACTCGATTGAACTTTCAAATTGATCAGCGGACCAACTCTCGCGGTTTGGACTATCGTAGCAATCTCCTGTGTGTGTCTACATTGACATCATTACGTAATACATATGGCACGGTCAGTTTGGTCGTAATCTACGTAGGCTGAGATGCAATTGACCCCTGATTATCACATGAGCTAATCGATACGACCATTACCGTCAGGCCGCTGGGTCTATCACATTTGTGGATCAGAATGTGTGCATTTGCGTCATCAATAGAAAACACATCTTATTTACGATGAACTTAAGACCAGTTGTTATGCGGCGATGAGAATGGAAAAACGTCTTAGAGACAAGATTGAATCGCGGATATGAGCATGTGAGACCGTGCACGTTAAAAGAACCTTGTCCAAAGGCAAGTTATCGTGGTAATCTTTAACCCATTTTACCGCGACCACTGCGGACTATTAGTTGTTTCATCTTTGTGAAGATCTGTAACTAAGTAAAGTTGTTCTGATTGCAAGTTCCATTCATACGGTAGCAAACATTGGTAGAATCCTAGCGATTTTCGAGATAAAATCACTAATTTCCAACGGTTTAATGCAAATGAACTTCATGGACGCAAACATTAATTTGGATTCATTCAAAAATAACTCACGTCTTCTCCGATAAGATTCATGGCCAACGAATGTAGTGCATTCATTTTGTCCGCTATACAAGCTCTGCGACGTCGTTCCATATTCTGCTTTTTCAGCTATTTAGGGAAACAACAAAAAGAAAAAGCAGTGACATGGACGTTCAGTTAGATAACCCTGTGAACCCTGTGAATGGAGGTTGTCGAAGTTCATTGTAAGAAAATTTAGCACAAAACTTTCCGCGTAAAGGTATATTCAATCATTAATTGATGAGTAGGGTTCAATTCGGAAGCTGGAATGGTTTATTTAATTCTAGTGCATTATAATCGTCACTAAGAAGTACTATTCCGCTATATACATATATATATATATATATATATGAGCTCATCCATGAGCAAATTATTTCACCAATGTCATAATGAGTAAAGAATTGCAGATTTTGTTGTGGAACTTCACCACAAACTGAAAAGCAGGACATAGCTACTTTCTCCTAAATGGGTCTCATCAGCAGGGCGAATCCATTCACCCAACTGGGAGTGGAACCTGGCTAGTCCGATTATCACTTGGGTAAATGGATTCACACTGTTGATGAGATCCACTTCACTTTCTCTGTGCATGACGAAGTTC